AATAAGCCACTAAAATTTTTCATGAAAATCAACTCACTACACTTTACCAAGATCATGACCAAGAAATTAATTTTCTGTACATTGATTGACATGTACTTGGCCAGATGCAGTTCATACCACCAATTTTTGTTTAGAAGTGAGTCTACTACAGACTACAGTACAGGTACACGTACTGATACATGTATTTAACTTTGGCAATAGCTGTTTAAAAATAAGTCCAAAATGTGATGAATAGAGAGATGTTGGTATGGAATTACATGTAAATTGTTGATTGCAGGGGCTTTCATATCACAATTCTTGAAAATGAACAGTGATTACGGTACTAAAGTTAACTTATTTATAAGTTATTGTCTTCAAATTTTCAGGAGTATTTTTTTAAAAATCATTCTAAACAAATGTATGCATTTAACTCAATACTTCTACATTGTGTGTAAGATCATGGCAAATAAATAATATTATTGTTATTGTTATTCACAATGGGTTAATGTCAATTGCTATGGATATGAAGTAAAAAAAGCATATTTATAAATAATTTAAAAAGCAGTGGTAATAAAATGGTTTCTACTCAAATACTGTAACTCACAGATATCACAACTAAGGGGAGTATTTCAAAGAAGTCACAATTTATACATTCTTCCTTTCTCATCACAGATCTTTTCTACTATTTGTCCAAAGTTTGAGCGTCGGGTACGTTGTCATTCTTAGGCCTTTTGTCAAAATTTATGAAAATTTTACTACAGCCCTCAATGTCCATTACAGACAAGCTTCAAGTAAAGACTGCTTAATGAGTATCCCTTTATCACGACTTGCTTGCATGTGAATTCAGGGTTGAAAGTGACACAGAGAGAGTGAGAGAGAGGGGGAGAGAGAGGGGGGTAACCATGGACCTTACTGTACATGTAAAATGGGTAGACCAAGGAGTAAAATCTCCTTGAGTAGACAGACAGAGAGAGGGAGAGAGAGAGAGAGGAGGGCAGCTTAGCTTAGACGGACTTACTCACTTTCCTGTTGGCTCAATCTATAATTATGACCTCAGCTATGCTTCTTTATTCTACAGTCTACACTGACTGTACACCAGTCTAATTCCACAACTGTATGTGTACACTGTACATAGAACTCAAATCTCCATCCATATATACCCTGGCTTTAAAACCACAAATGAATAGATATTTGGATATCAAACTGGTTCAATACCTATTCCAAGCACACATCTACTAGAGGCCACATTACATTGATTGTCAAGTGGATTTAGCACCATACAACTCTTACGTATTATTATTATTATACTTGTACATGTACAGGTGTATGCTCATTTATCCCTACAAATTATACATCGGTGTACACCTGTATCTTGCAGAAGTTTGTCTCACATTAAAACAGTTACAGTATACACCATACAGGTGCACTGTACAGGTGCAATGTACGTACATGTAGGCCATCAATATCTAGAGCGTATGACAACAACGCGTGTTATTCTTATTGAGGCCACGGTCAATAATCTGCAGTAAATACAGTGGAAATATGCCATATGGACATCAAACAATAAGAGGCTACAGATAGTGATGGAGGGCTTTCCATGCTTATGCACCATGTAAATCAATACATTAATATCAGCATCATGATTGCATGCATTCCATGTACATGTCCAGTAAGCGTCAAGCTTGTGTGATGTGATGCATTGCAACAGATACTGTATGTAGTAAACCAGTGCAAGTGTGGGAGGGTTTGGATAAAATGAGTTTTAAGTTTTTGTAATAATTTTTACCTAAGTATGATACCAGACTTTCTACTTTACACTTTGGTTTGGTTTGTTCTATTTTTTTTTTTAAATTGATGATGATGATGATTATGATGATGATGATAAATCAATAAAGATATGATGATAATAATAATAATAATAATAATAATAATAATAATAATAATAATAATAATAATAATAATAATAATAACAATATTGTTATTGTAATAATGATAATTATAATGATGATAGCCACAATAACAAATGGCACATAGCACCTGGAGCTTCTAAACCTTGAGGCAATTACGACCAAAGCCATACCGAGTAGCTTTATTTCATTATGAAAATCAAATTTATCTATTCATATTGAATAGGCTACAAGTACCAGCTATCTATGTACATTGTTTTGTACATACTGTACATATACTGTACATTTATGAGATCCAATATCCACTGCTGATATCAATGACGGCATCATCCATATTACAATAATTCATTTTATTTTCTATTATTGTCAAATTATTGTCAAAACGCATGATCGTAATTAATAGTAAGGTCGGGCTTATCAAATTGTAAATTGAGATGAAGAAAAACTTGATTGAAAACATGCTTTCAATAAATGTTAATGATATGTTAATGATATGTTAATGATCATGAACATCTATCATCTATTCTCAGAATATAATTCGCATCATGCATCTCTACGCCTCTACCAGTGAAATGATGCACATAGCAGCAGGCTGGATATCATCTACACTGAATCCATTCCATACTGCATGGTAATTTAATATCACCCATTCTGTGAATTACAGACCTGTGTGTGGATAGTGTATGTCTGAGAAGCCCAAATATCTGAGAATGCATGTACAGGTACCTGCGCAATTCCGCACGAAACAAGCCGCAAACCGACGATCTATACTAATGCTAGAGTACATGTGTAGATGGACGTTGTACATGTATGTATTATTAATGCATGAAAATGTTCATAAAACACAAAATATCATATTTCATGTCATTTGCATACAATGGATGAATATGAAAACATGTACATTTCAAACATACAAGCAGATGTAGATGTATGGCAATTTTGTGTTTGCATTAATATCAAAATGACATTGCTGTCTTTATTTTAGCAGAAAAGAATGAAATAATTATCTTTCAGAGATTTTGGAGATGCTTACTATTTTCTTGGAAACTGGACTTGCTGATTTTCTTTTTTGATTGTCTGCTTTACATGTACATACAATGTACAATGTACATGGACAAATACATGTGGTGTTTGTTTTCAAGAATGGGGATCAAGCATTTCCATTTATTTCTATCTCTGATAAATCCTGATCATTGTGATCAGCTACATGTATGTATGATCACCCTTGAATGCTGTCTCCCTGCTTCCATCCCCCTTAATTTGTATTTTTCAAGTCACCATGGATCCTATTTCTGCTCATTTACATGACAAGCTGTAGTGTATGTACAAAATGAAATCATCTTTTCATCTCCATGTCTAGAAGAGATATATCGACTCTTCACTTGACCTTTGACCTTCTGTCAGTCCCTGATATTCCAAGTATTTTTCTCAAGAATCACTTTCTACCAAGATGGCAGACCAGCTGAAGTTCTCAGGTGGTATTCTGAAAATTATGTTAACTATTGTATGTTAGTTTAAAAAAGATTTTAATTGTCATTTTAAGTAACAAATCTACAAGACATGTATCTTTTGTTAATTTTGACACAAAGCTAGAAGCATAGGCTTACAGTTTAGAGAGACATCGGCGCAAGATGGCCCCTGGTTCATAGTGGTCAATAGGCCAAATGTGTTTCACACATGATCCGATGCTGCCCAAGTCAAATGCCCCAAAAATTTGTATTTTCTGATGACATACTGAAAGTTCACGCCAAGTTCAATAGCAATCAGTGAAACAAGACAGGCCTATAAAATAGATATAAATGTCTGGTATGAGGAATAATAAAACTGACATTTGTTGACCTTCCCCATTCTGACCCCATACACGGATGATATTCCAAGTCACTGGATTGAGGTGGTTAGATTTATCACAATTTTAGCATACCGGTAGTAGGTCCATGATTTTAGTCACAACTTAGCCAAACTTTTAAAAGGCTTTCTTAGGTTTGTCATTATTTCCAATGTCAAAATACAGAGATTTAAGATCTAAAAGGAAACAGATCTTCCTATAAAAAATATGTTGGAAAATGGAAATCAATGTAAAATTCAAAATGATATATGGTAAGGACTGCTTTCAGCTATTCTGTCCTGTTTGCTAATTTGCAGTGAGATGACCAAACTGTGACTGCATCAACATACAATGTACATACTACCTGTACATAAAACCTCTACCCACTATGCCGTACAAACCCCTTCACAGTTTTTGTGAAGGAAGTCAGTGGAACTGGACATCCTCTCAGTGGGACAACCATTGACTGGTACAAGAGACAAGCTGAAGCATTTGGTCAAGAATGGAGTCACTGGACATGCCTCAAACATGGGTCAAGTAACAGACAGCAACATACCATGGACATACATTTACCATATACAACTGTATGTTAATGTATGAACAAGCCAAAGTTTGTGTATCTAATGAATGCAATGTTATTGAAGATCAAATCTGAAGTGCAAATGTTTGTTTACTCACTGCACTTAGAAAATCAAAGGAGAAAAAAGGGAATGGGCTTACGAGCACGTACATTTTACCTGTTTAGACTGAAATTGGATCAGCACTTGAGCCAGCCACCAGAATAAGGGCGCGTTCATGCTTGATTTTGAAGGCAGAATGAGCGATTTGTAACGCTCATCGTAAACGCTCATCGTAATCGCAGTTCCACGGTGCACTGTTCATGCTCACTTCTTCAGGCAATTCTCCTTGGGTGGCCTTCAGCTGGATTCGTAAACCTGTGTGCACATGCTACGTAGACCCACTACAGGTCAGTGCGTTGACCCCATTTAAACGCGTTTACAAATTGTAAACGCATCTTTTTGTGAGTTTACGATCGGCGATCGTGATCGCCGTTTTTTGGTGATTCTACAAAAGTGAGCATGAACGCAATCGTGTTTTAAACTAAACGCGTAACAGATGCCTGATTCTGGCCGTCAAAATCAAGCATGAACGCACCCTTAAACAGGTCACTTTGACAGGTTCAAGAGCCTCAATACAGTCAGATACAATTGTAAAAAGGAGGATTCTCAGCCGATCTAGATATGACGTGAAGACCTACAAACTGATATGAATGCACAGGTGATACTTACAGGCAAACAAATGATGCTATGATGAGGAATCTCTGCGGACAATTGACCGATAGTCTAGCCCGACTAGGATCCAATGACCGTCGTCTCTTACAGCACAAACAACAGCTGAAGAAAAGTGAGAGGACCAGAGTCAGGAGAAGCCATAGGATTGGTACAGCGGCCCAGAAGATCAGAGACTGTCAGGAGAACAAGGAAATTATTAACTTTATCATACACTGAACAAGAAAAAAAGGAAACTAATTTGTAGCTGAGAGACTTTAGATCATAAAATGACATAAATTCTTCTTGTGATATTTCAAACATTTTTTACTCATCTCTTCTCTTATTCATACACATGTACACTGTAGTTTAGGTTTTTCAGGAAGGGGACTAGACAGGCAGTGTTTCACCAAACCATCATACATGCACATGTACTGTAAGTACAAGTTCACTGAAATTCTGACAACCTATTTAAATGCGTTTACTATATTCAACATGTGATTCGATGGGATGTCCATGAACTTGTACTGCATTGATATAAAGCTCTTTTTTTTTTCAATTTTGTTGTTTTAGAACAGTAAAAAAAAATTAAAACCATTTCATTTTCTTGTCCAGAATTATGGTTAGTCTATTAACAGTTGGTATTACTCAGGATCAATCTTACAATTTAGAATTCAAAAAATAAAATATATTATGATCAACTTTTATTTTTCCTAATATTGTAATTTACTTCTCCTATCTTTATAAAACTACATGATATTGTGCACAGCAGCCAGCAAGGATCCAACACTTGCCTGAGATTGCTTGTATGCATACATGTACAATGTATGAACACATCTAATAGTAAACAAGTCTAGTGTCACATACAGTTCAATCACTTCAATGATTTGTCAACCAGAACAGTTGATGAGGCGTGTCTATAAAATTACAACATTCATCAAGTTTTGTCATTATGTACATACATGTAGTACATCATCTAAAGTACCGTTATTAGGAGCCAGTATTTCAATTTCATTTATTTCCACAGATTCATAAAAGACAATGTAAGTTACAATCAAATATAAAAGTATTACAACAAAAGATGAACCTGCAGAGGGGGTGATCAAAAACCACAGAGGTTTATCGGGGATCATCCCCTGCTTAAAATTACAATATAAAAATACAATAGTTTTTTTTTAATTAAACAATAACACATACATGTACAAAAACAGATATTACATGCAAATCTATGCGTGGGGTGAGTAGTAGTGGGTTGGTGGTACCAAGAAATACAATATAAAGAGGAAACTAGAAATGCAATCGTGTCGGAACGATGTGCGTGCAATGACGCCGTGTTTCTACGAAAGAGCTTCTCTCGGACTATCCAGAGCAATTTGCACGAAGTCTGTAGCTTCTGTGATATTGGAGATAGGTAGGGCGAAAGAAAGGCATCAACAGTGACCTTCATGGGATGGTAGTGACTATGCCTACGAAGTTTGAAAGAAATTGGGATAGGGGAAAGAACCTAGAAAGGGCTCGCAAGCACTGCGTGCACAAACCAATGGGATTTGGTGCATGTTTGACATTGCAATCAAGTTCGTTCTGGGGGCCAAAAGCGTGAACCCGATATGCCCCATAGACAATGCGTGTAATGAATGGGCGGAAAACGTGCAGGATCTGTATTATGGCCGGAGTTAAATTGTTTTTTCTCTCTCTCTTTACGTCTCTTTATGGGCCGTATTTGGTATCATTAGAAAGAGAATTTCATGGTTGTTATTGTAAACCACTCTCTTTTTTTTCTATGATAATCATATCGAAACACGTGATGTAAAATAGATGTATAGGACAAAATGGCGTCTTAAATGGCCCCCTTGACCAATTTCAAAAATCCGGCCAAGAGGTGCCCTGCGTATTGGAACTCGGCATGTCACTGCAAATTTTCAAGGAAAAAAAAGGACGTTTAAGGGGCGAAAAGCAGTCTGAAAAAATGACGTCATAGCCGAAACGTGTTAGGTTCGGGCGGAAACTCGGCGGAATTCGTGTAGTGATCTTTCTTCAAACGCGATTTACTCACAATTTTCTGTGTGAACATATATAATACTTGGTATCATCCGAAAGGGCACTTCATTGCGGTCAGTCTGACACCATTGTTAAGTGCGCGCAATGTATTGCGCGCATTGAACGCGCTATTACGTAATCCATAGTAAACTCATCATTTTTGGCGATAACTTTGCGCTGACATATTCGAATTTTACCAAACTTGGTAAACAGTTATCACGTATATGGATACATATGTCTGCAAAGTTTCATTGATGTAGGTATAACGATCGCCATTTTAGAGCAAGTTGAAGTTATTTCTCAATTTTCTTGAAAATGGCGAATTTGGAGGGCAATTTTCTCAAATTTGGTCAGTGATAGGGTATATAATTTTGTATATGGCTGGAAAGGGCATATCTTCAAGTATCTAAATCCAAAAAAGGGTACGGGTTTGCCAAGCCATTATGGAGATACGGCCACAGAGAGAAAGCCAATTCCCAGAACTTTAGAGGGCGCTATTTATGTTGTGCATAGCCATTGGAGCGTGAAATTTAGCATGGCTATGTGCAATTATGAGATAAAGATACTGTGAGATTTAAATACAAAACGGAATTTATATGAGAAAGTTATGGCAGTTTTAGATTATTTAGGGGTCCATTTTTCAAGAACTTGAGAGGTTTTTGACGGAGTCGGTTTTAGATTTGAATTTCGAGTATCAAGATGGCATTTTGAAGGTCAAGTCATTTGTCGCAGATGAAAGAACATCTCTTAGACTATCTAGAGGAATTTGTTAGAAGTTTGTAGGATGAAGGATAGTGGAGATAGGAAGGAAGATATAAAGGCCTTAAAATGGACCAGAAACGAACAAAATGGCGCCTGGACGGTCATGCATGAGTGATTTCCAAAATCGAAGAATGTAGTGACCTTGATGAGATGTTAGAGACTATGCCTATGAAATTTGAAAGGAAAAGGACATGAGGAAAGCACCTAACTAGGAATCACAAACACTACGTGCAAAACGAATGCGATTTCCTGACGATAAGGATAAGGATAAGGAAAAGGAAAAGGAGAATATTAATGGGGCAGAATGTGAACGAAAACAAGGCAATGACGAAGGTCGTCATTGCAATGAATGATATACAGGAAAGAAATATTGAGAACAATAGAAAGAAACACCGTACAAACTATATCTTAAGAGTTGGATACGAGATCAAATATTGTTTCAACTTTGACTTGAAAGAATAAAGTGATGAGCAGCTGACAATACCATTGGGAAGTAAATTCCATAGTGATGGTCCACTAAAATAAATGTTCCTTTGAAGAAAAGTTGTTTTAACAGAGGGCAAATGAAATTTATTTGAACTTCTTGTTTCATAAGAGTGAATTTCAGCATTAACAATGAACATCTCATTAAAAATACATGGTAGCTGATTTTTCTTGAAAAGAAACATAAATTGAGCAAGTTGCATATAATATAGAGATTTCACATTCAAAATATTCAGGCGTTTATACAAGGGTGCAGTATGTGCAAGAGGGGGGTTAACCCATATCATTCAAAGTTAACAACCTTCTGGCTCCAAACAGATAACGTGTCAATGTTATTTATGACTCATATGATGCAAACAATGACTTCCATCCTGGTTGGTTGAATGGATGCCATCGGGTGGGTAGGTGGGAATTCCCAATTACATGTTAATATTGACTCACTTTTTCCTGGTACCCATTCATATCCTCCAAGTGCAGGTCATTCTATTCAATGACCTTAAGCTCTATTATCTGCTCTCGTTGGAAGCTTTAAGAAAACTTCCCCTAGCTACCCTCAATGGACCATTTGAATACTAGGGGAGTATAAGAAGTGTTTCCCTTTCCTTGTGATGTTGTGAGTCAACACAATGTTATGTATTATTCACTAATCCTTTGCCGTTCACTGGATCATTTCAAGCTTACAATGTATAGATAGACTCTAGTTATTTTCAACAAATGTACATGTACAGGTACAGTACATGTACAAGTAGACCAAACTCAAGAAAGTGAAGAAACACAGTTGTGGAGTACAGCAGGTGGGGTCAATTTTCATTATCTCAGCTCTATGACTTAAAAGCTTCATAATTGGCATGAAGTTTCCACATCTGTTACGATTACATGTATACTAAATTCAATATATTTTATTGAAATAATATGCTTACAGAATGAGGTTATCATCAAGATCACAACAGAATGAAATAAAGAATATTTCAAAAGTCATCAACTGTTAAATGCGATGAATATTATAAACATGTGAGTTTAAAAAATGTCTAGTTTGGAGAATTCTTTAATCTTCCCCATACACTGTATAGAGGTAGTCAGTGGAGCCAACACCTGACAAATATATCATCAAGATACAGATGTAAAATGACAATAGTGCAAGACCCGGAAGCTGGGACATCCCCCCCCCCCCTTTGAAGTTAGACCTGGAAGCTTGGCAGGTTTTGTGTACATGTCTATATGGAAAGTAGGGTCTATGGCAGGAGTGAGGACCTATTGATTTGGAATCATCTTTGGTCGAACATAAAAAAAAAAAAATTGATGACATACCTGTAGGTCTAGAACAGATCTAGTAACTTGTAGTGTCGTAATGAACAGGTATTACACACTTGGCGTTCCATAGCCAGTCAGTAATCATGGCGTCGAAGTAACTAATAAAACGAGTACACCGTACTGCCTTGAACTGTAAAGCAATGCCTTTAACTGAGTCTTTGATTTAACAACTAGTACTCTACATTGGCGACGAGGGAATGGGCAAACGATGGCCACATTCACAATACCACCGCCTCCACCTCTGGAGATTGATTCAACAAGTCTTGCGACCAGTTTCAAGAAGTTCAAGCAGGCATTCACTAACTTCGAACTTGCAACGGGGATAGCAACCCGAGACGACTCGCTGCGGGTAGCAACTCTGCTAGCCGTGATCGGGCAGCCGGCGGTCGACCTCTACAACACGTTTACTTGGACTAACGAAGCTGAATCCAAGGTATATCAGAAGGTGATCGATCAGTTTGAAATACATTGTAAGGGACATGCTAATACTACATATGAACGGTACATATTCAACACGAGAGTACAAAGAGAGGGTGAAACGTTTGAGAGCTTTGTTACATCTCTAAAGTCATTAGCAGAAACATGTGAATTTGAAACATTGACA